CACCAGACCCCTGGGCCCACCGCCCCCCCGCCCCGCCCCACACCTTTCGAGCCTGCTCGAGACCCCGGCAGGCGTCGCTGAGGAAGGTGAAGGATCTGGGCGGGGGCACCTCGTGGATGGCAGACACGCGGTTCTGCAAGTTCACGGCAAAGTCCTGCGCAGGGAAGGCGGTCAGTGCCAGCACGCGCATCCCCACCCAGTCAGAAGAGCACTCGTCCCGTTGGGACCTCTGCCCGGCCATCTGGCCCAGCCCTCTGACCTCCTCACCGACCCAGCCGTCTCCGGCCCTGCTCACCCGGGCCTGGTGATGGAAAGTACACCTCTCATTATAGTCCTGGAACCGCTTCTCCTGGCGAGCTGCTTTGCTTACCTGGTAAAGACAGGTCGAGAGGGCTGTCGGGTGGTTGGCAGGACAGGACGAGGTTAATAATCAGACAAACTACCATTCATGGAGGCCTTCTGATGCTTTACCCAGGTTTTCTCACTCAATTCTCGTAACTGTGAGGTAGGTCAGACTATCATCCCCTTTTACAGATAAGGGCGCTGAGGCCTGGACAGGTTAACTGAGTACACAGTGGAGCCAGGCTCTGACTCAGAGTCCTTGCTCTGCTCTGCGCTGGTGCTTCCTGGGAGCGCCCAGCCCGCCCCGGCCTCTCTGTAGCCACCTCGGTGTGAGACATCTGACTCCGGAGCTGAAGGTCTTCATGCACAGACCTCCCAAGATAGACCTCTCAGCACCCGTAGGCCCAGGTAGCTTCTGTCTTCTCCCCACTGAGCCTTTGCCCTAACAGCTGTTCGGCTGCTTGGAACACAGAGACGTCTGTGCCCAGGCCCTGCAGCAGCATGTCATCCTCACTGCCCCTGGGCCTCTGCCCCCTCCTTCCAGCGCCGGCCCCTTACCATGGCAGAGCAGTTGTAATAGTCTTTGTGATTTGGCTTCCAGGACTTGAGGCAGCGCCAGCAGAATCCATGGTTGCATTTGGCACAAGTCATGCTGTGGAGGAAGCTAGCTGGTCAGAGGGC